AGAAAAACGATCATTGGTATCTCCCGAGAACAATGGCTCCGAGGGTAACGATATGTACAGCTGCGCCTGTTCGAGGGAGCAGCCGCAGGGAGGGACATTAGAGCCCATGCAGCCGAGGCGAAGAGAAAAGGAAATGATACGATAGAGGCGAAGGGGAGTCTCGTGGATGCGGTAATGAGAAGTTGTCGGTTTTTCCGTACGAGTGCAGTGTGTATGGACATTTGGCGTTTTGGCGAGGCGCCACCTTGGCATCACCCTATACGCCACGGGAGGGCTGCTATACGAGCGCCTGTCCATCGTCACTGCACGGTACACAGGAATCTCCTTGAAACGAGTCGTGGCGGCCACGAGAAATACCGACAAGGGAACGCCCGTGCGTGCAATGGCCACTGGCCAAAAATAATCTCGATTTCGTGTGTACGTGTATAGATACACATGCTGCACTCGCGAAATTCTCTAATCGTTCGAGCACTCGCGCCACGCCACGTTGCACCTTACCTATACATGTATGTACCTACATGTCGTTATGATCTTGTTTGCGCCTATTCGCGCTTTCGTCTCGCGTCGACAGACGCCCGCGTGGGTTTCTATAAATACGGAGCCACGAATTCTCCCTCTCTCTCTCTCTCTCTCTCTGGCAGGAAGTTTTCACGTTGTTTGCCAGTGCAAGCAGTTCACGAACACTCCTAGTTTGTCCGTAAACTTTGAGCCCCGATATGTAGTTTTTATGCCATTTTTTTTGGCCATTTATAATAATGTAGAGTGGAAGAAGGAGGTGTACCATGTGTTCTTTTCAACCGACATCTTATAGCGCTAATGGATTTTTATTGGTGAAACTGAGTCTCTAAGCTCGTCCCAACCAAGGTCACTGAACCAGATCAAAAACCGTGAACGTATCTTTAAAAAAAACCGCGTGATCGGTATAAGTAGCGTCAAAAAGCAATCACGGGTAACAGCATATAGTCCAAGGGCAAAAGATAAACCGTACACATATCCGGGAGTAATCTTCGAAGCTGCAAAGGCAGGGATGAGGGGGGGGGGGAGTGTCGTACGGGCGCGAGGCAGATTAAGCCCGTCCCGTATATATACCCCGACTGGGTATAGGTACGACAGTGTGGGGGGGGGGGGGGGGAAAGGGGCGGGGGCCAGAAACCGGCCAAGCTTTCTTCGGAGCTTCCATAATTTGTAAAGATCGGGTAGCAATTTATAGCTGCGTGTGGTCTACGAGTAGGGGATCGGCTTCCAGCTTGNGGGGGGGGGGAGTAATGGGCCTGGCACGTAGACCGGCCAAGCTTTCTTCGGAGCTTCCATAATTTGTAAAGATCGGGTAGCAATTTATAGCTGCGTGTGGTCTACGAGTAGGGGATCGGCTTCCAGCTTGGAAACTGTATCTCTACTACAGATACACCCCACACCCTCTCTCTTGCTATCTCGTCGCGCTATGGACTCTTTCTTTTTTCCTGCTACCGGTAAACTCTTTGCTCGTTCGGTACAGCTTCAGTGCTACGCTTCATCCGCGTTTTTGCTTGTGTTTTTAACTACATGCGTTATCATTGCACGAAAACATCCATCGATCGATTTTTGATATACGGTATGGCCGTCACCTTTGCGGTTCAACCCCACTCGGAAAGTCAAACGCCCAGCGTCATCTTCAAAGTTTTATCTCCCATCCGAAGGGAGAGGGAAGGGAGAACAAAAAAAATGCTCTCCTGCCACTCGATCCATCTTCCGTCGTCCCGCGAGAAGACAGCGAGCTCTCGCGTTTTTGCTGCACTCCCTCCGGCCGAGCTATAGGTCTATTCGTAGACCAATGTCTCTCCGTCTCGCGCCACAAGTTCAAGAACGCGCCGTGTCTCGCTGGCGTCGAGCCGTCACAGCCGTGCCCGAGGCCTACACAACGTTTAACGACGCGAGAGCTACTCCAATTCATCTCCCCGCGTCGGGACTAATCGCCTTTAAGACCTTTTTTTTCCCCCCCTCGCTCCTTCTTCTCCTCCGATCTTACACGGCTGGATCTTCTCGTGTGTGGTTATTTATATATTTATGGTCCCGATTATTTTTTACGTGACTCCATTTTCACAACTTTAGTCTGCACGCCGGTCCCTGGATTTTTACTGTAGCTTTCGGTGAAAAGTGACAAAACTCTGGATTTGGTGATTATCGTCCCTCGAATCACTTCGGTCCCTATTTTCCAACCCATCGTGGGTATCTTTTTTCGTGCCATGCCTTACGAAACGGTATAGACACTAAGTTGCTCAAGAAAGAGAAGTATAATCGGTAAAGCTGTTACCTCGATTTATACACGAGTTGAACACAATAGCCTACCCATTAAGATAAAATCAACGCATTGTTTCGACGTGTGTGTATTTTTTTTTTTTTTTTTTTTTTTTTTTTTTTTTTTTTTTACCAAGAGGAATTTCTATCCTCTTCGATTGCTTCACCGTTTCTTGGAACGCGGTTCGTTTAAAAAAAAACGTTTTTCTCCCGTTAAACGCTGATTACAACATAATGAACAAATGTCCGCGGACGAGCAAATTAATTACACCAAGGGGGAAATAAAAATAACTAATTTCGATTGGATCTATGGTCGCTCTTATACACGCGTATGCGCGCAACTTTCCGTGCTCATCCCTGTATTATGTGATGCTTATTTTTGTAATACGATGTAACGACCCCCGGTATCGATTCACCTCCCCCCCTATACAGTGAGTTGCGCAACGCTTCTCTTACACTCGTTTGTCATTATCATTGTTCTTGTTGTATTTGTTCATTATGATGATGGTGTTGTTAGTATTTCCACAACCACTGCGTGCAAACTTTCCCCCATTGATACGGCTCCCTGTATTATATATATGTATATATATATATACAAGCGCCTGAATAAAATAATACAGAACAAGTAGGGGCGTTCAGTGGGGTCTCCTTTGTGAAAAAATTAACAGTTTGTTGTCATTTTTTTTTTTCTCTCCTCTCATCTCACGGGAGATTTTCTGGATGGCTGGAGTTCGATGCATTAAAGTTCTTCGAATATTCCAGTATCTCGGTGCACTTGTTTGAAGTTTGTACATTTAAATGACTAATGAAGCCAAATACCGTAGAATAACCTCGAAACGATAGTTACAGTCATGGTTTGCTAGTGGGAAAATTAAACACACTCATACCATCTTAAGCCACCCTCTGGAATCCCTGTAATTATTATAGACGATAAAAACGATTAGTATCGATTGATAGCGACGGTGGCAATCGTAAAAAGATGAGCTTCGGAGAAAGAAAATCCAAAGCTCGGGGAGCTCCTGCACAAGTGGGTCCAACGATGACACACGCGCTCACAGAATCCATAACGCTGTTAATTACGCGTTTTACGGCGGCGTGTAACGCGCGCCCGGGGCGTCCTGTTAAAATTCATCAAGCGTCTACTACGATAAATCATAAAATATTTAATGCCTCGCCGAGGCACTCGCGTCGCCCACGGTCTTAACTTTGCACTCTGAATAACGACCTCGAGGTCGGCACTCGGTATGTATACGGTTTACAGCTGCGTATACGGACGCGAGAAGGCCGGAATTAAAGTGTTATTATCATAGAGAGTCGTGGCTCGCTTGTGTAATGCAGGGGGTGACGTGGCGAAGGGACGCTGCAGTGGGACGAGTTTAGAGAGTGTGCATGGAAAGATAGCCTCATTATTGTCGTGGCGAAGGTGTTAAAGATGCCTGGAGTTTACGAGGGTAGATACGTCAGCTACATAATTTTTCTTTTTTTTCATCGCATAAGGCTCTTGCTTTTATTTTAGCATTTTTTTTGTTACGCTGCGAGCAGAATGTTTGTATATTATTTTCATAATTTTTCATTATGTATAAGTAATTTGATGAGTAACGGTGAATGTTTTTGTGAGTTGCAAGAAATGTATATGGGGGTAAACACGAGACTGTTTACATACTGAAATGAAATGTCCATTATAAATATAGAAAAAAAAATTTCATGTTGACTCAGTGGTAGGAAACATCCAACGTTGTTGTGAATTTTTCCATATTTTTTTTTACATTTTGCACTATTTGTTTTGAGATGATCAAACAGAGATACATCAATCATGTTGAAACGTTGGTTTTAAAAAAGTAGTATTTATTTTTGCTTATTGCATAGATTTATGATAAATAAATATAGCCTTGTTGTTTTCGGATTTGTCCAATAGTTGTTACGAATTAACTACAAAAAATTATCGAAAATATGTTTGCTGTGCAAATACATGCTGACGATTTCTCTTGCTCATCTGCTCCGTACCTCATGTCACAAGCAAAGACACCAGATGGTGCATTCTACGGTAGATACTGACAGTTGTGTTGGGTAAATTTTTGCCCGTCAAACGATAATAGTATAGCACAGGATAAAGTTAGGTATAAGATTGCATAGGTACTTTTTTTCTATTTGTATGACACTTAGTTTTAAAGGTATGTGCAACCAATGGATATTTAAAAAAAAATTTTTTCTCGAGGGATTTACTAAAAGTTACAAGAATTCGAGTACACTTACATGTTTCTCAAACTCAATTGTAAAAAAATTATTTAGCTAAAGTAGTGAGCTCAAACTTTACAAAAAAAAGATAAACCCACGCAATATTACCAACTATTTTACTCTTACCTGATATTGATGGATTATCTACTGATTCTCACTAATATAGATTATACTACGTGTTACTTATAAACGAGATAACAAATTTACACACGTATAAATCATACGTATGTGCAGTTAATACGAAGCTTGCATTTTAATGCTCAATATTACAGCAAAATCCACTCGGATCGACTGGCATAAAAAAGCATCATTAAAATTGATGATACAAGTAGATATTAATATTGCTACGCGATACATTGGATGAAATCCAGCAAAAAATCCAGAGGAATAAATAAAAAAATACTTGTAATCCACGTCTGATTTATTCAAGTTACCGGTGTTGATAACAATACAAAAGATCAGAACTTATCCGTCATTCGCAAACGCATGATTTACTTTTTAATTTCCTTCTTTGGGCGAAGTTGATTCGAGTGTCCGCACTTTTTTTTCCTGCAATTCGTAGCACGTGGGTGAAGGCGAGCGTAGCACTTGCGGCATATTAGTTTCTTCGAATTGTACTTTTCCGCCAAGGCCTTGAGAGTGGGATCCATAGCACCTCCCCTTAGACGAAGCACGAGATGCAGCGTGGACTCTATCAAACAAAAAAAAAGAATCTTAGACGCTCGGAGAGACAATCACGAATTTATAAAAATATCTAATGGATTCGTGGGAAAAAAATGTCGCCCACGTAACGAGCAAAAAAGAAATACAAAGACAATACGCACCTTTCTGGATGTTGTAGTCGGAAAGAGTGCGGCCATCTTCGAGCTGTTTGCCGGCGAAAATCAACCTTTGCTGGTCCGGAGGTATGCCCTCCTTGTCCTGTATCTTGGCCTTCACGTTCTCAATTGTGTCCGAGGCTTCGACCTCCAAGGTGATAGTCTTACCCGTCAGGGTTTTCACGAAAATTTGCATCCTCTGTTTTTTTTTATGACAATAAGTACGCAATATGTATTGGATGTACGTCAAGCTAAGATTGCCTTTTCGAAATATTGTTAAAAACTGACAGCCTCGCAGATTGCACGTATTATCGTAATGTGTAGATGCACTCGACTACTACCGTTCGTTATCACCACCCACACTCTTCTGTCCGGCTTAGTTGTGCTCACCTTGCTTTCGTGGCGGTGACACGATCGTTGGGAGGATGTAATGGTAACAAAGGTAAAAGCACGTGTATGTATACATGTGATTTAATTATGGACGTCACGTTGCGTTCAGTTTTGAAAAATTTTTTTCTTTCAACTTTTTCTTTGTGTAATGTAATAATTTCACATTTTCAAACACTTCCTGGTATGTCTTTGTTTTTCTAATGCCTAGTCACACTTTCTGCTCTTTTTTACATACACTTGTCTCCCTACAAGATATGAGCGCCTATAAAGCACTGGAATGGTCTTAAAAAAAAAAAAAAAAATTAAGCAGGGAAAACGCTCCGAAGCTTCGAAGTACAACGAAACAGTGCCAAGTAATTATCATGAAACAGTAGTAAAGGACTAATTAGGTCAGACGCTCCCGAAAGAAGGAAAAGCATGAACTTAATTTTAAACTCTATAATCCAGGTATTTCCATAAAGTAAAATATCGCAGGTGCTGCGGGGAAGGATGGCGTTTAATTTGTTCGGGGCAAAATAAATTTTCCGGCGCCGTTGCAATGAAACTTTATTCCCGGTAACTCAAGCAGATTGCGCTTGTTTGTTTTAGCGCTATTAACGCACCGCGTAAATCCAAACGGGGAGTAATTATCGGAATCAATAAGCGACGCTACAATAAAATGAATGGCAATATGTAGTACCGCTGTCGAGTTTGATTGCAGTATTTTTTCAATGGCAGTCGCGTGGTCATGTACACCCATCAGTCGAGCAAATACAAAACCCCTACGGAGAAGAAAAACACAAACTAACTAATGCTTCAAGATATAGACACACCCGTTTCCCGCATGTGATTCATGCAGTCATTACACTCGCTTTTCTCTCTCGTTCCGCCTCTTTTTCCATCTCTCGAGCAGCCCAGAGACGCGCGCTCGCGTGTGTCTCTATTAATGTTGTGCGCTCGTGACAGCCGCTTATTCACGTACTCAGCACTTCCCCTCACTCAAGTTTCACCAGCCGAGCGCGAGGAATTTCTCTTGCAAACGACTATCCATATTTTTTGATGCCCCGATTTATCAGGAGACACCCACGGCCTTGTATATTTGTACTTTCTCGGTCTTGCAAATTGCACGATTTGTAATTCGTCCACGGTAAAAAATTCAAATGACACACGTTGCCTGTACGTGTTTGTATATGCCTCGTTGGGTGGGATAATATTTCGTCAATCGTCGCGATTATTTAACGAGACCTTTTTCCCTCTTCTTATACTTCTGTTAGCTTACGTGTTGCATAGGTATTGCTGATTTGAGAACTTTTTTTTTTCCAACTCTTTATGCAAAAATTAAGAGTAATATTACTTGAACCTCGTTTTTACGGGTGTCGTACCGCATTTGCAATTCACTAAAGTTATTTCGATGTGATATACTACAAATATCGTATGCCTAAGATCTCACAGTTATATTTCGTGTGTGTTAACGAAAAACTGTATTTTATTAAACTTTAGGTTCTCGTGGAAATGGATAAATAAGATTTGTGGAAGCGTACCTCAATAGACGAGTTACATTTTCTTTCAAAGTTTAAATTATTTATAAACAACAAAATCAGGAGTACTTACTCAATATTTCAATAAAACTGATAAAAAAAATTTTTCTCAACAACTAGCTGCTTCGCCAGATTTATTAGTAAATTCAATTGGTGTCAAGTTGGAAACTGATATACCCGTTCGTTATGAAAAAAATATGAAGCTCGAAGTGGAACGAGGAAATAGAAATAAACTAGGAAAAAGTCTGGAAGGAAGTGAAACTTCAAAGCTTGCATTGTTAATTTTCTTAAATTTGTCATTCTGATAAAGTAGCATTAACCGTATTAAGACTTGTTAGGATGCTATACGAAATTCAACGTAGTATAATGACGAGCTTAACTGTGGGGCGAATTGAAGTTTCACTTCAAGTAAGTATTCCTCGAAACTTCAATCAATATATTATAACGACAATAATAATATAACGTACGAACAAGCACAGCTACGACTATTTCCCAGTGAAATCAGCATCGTAGCACTCAATTAAAATACCAATATAATAACGTGATCGAGACTGCTGCGGACAAAAGAGAAAATTGTACCGAAGCGGCGCTTGAGAGAGGAACAGAGGCGATTATTCGCCTGCAGGCAACACTGAAGCGCCGCCACTCGATAAGGCCATCGCGGCAATCCAATTCCGTTATATCTCCGACCCTCAGGCCCGCCAGTGGGGCACCCGCGGCTCCGCGCGTAAATCCGCGCGTCCGTAACAATACGAATAAAGAAGATGCTCGCCGGAGTGTGTAATTCGATTCCACCTGACGTTATCCGGCGTCCGAGGCAGCGAGGGGAGGGCGATTACCTTGGAGGGCCGATACCAAGAGAGAAAGGACGAGCAGCGGCTTGGCCAGAAATAAGCCCTCTCGAGCTGACTTGATCCTCATCGGCCCGAGGCGCGCGAATCCCACCCCCCTCGATTCCCCTCCCCCGTTGGCTGATATTATTAAAGAAGGCGAAACGAAGCCGGCTACGGTTTAATCCGTCCTCCTCCCTTCTTATCCTCCTCGAGTCCATCCTCGTCCACTCGACGGACGGAGCGGAAATAAATTCGCCTGTACGTATATAATATGTATCGGGAGAGCACCACGGAGAGTAATTGGCGTCCTAAGACGCGGACAACAGCCGACTCGTGGCCGTCTTTGCTACCGAGCTTTTTTTTTTCATCGGTAATTGAAATCACCTCTTATTCCCCCGTAAACCCTCTCTTTGACGATAATGTTGTAGGTGCGTTGCTCGGAGAGATCGATCATTTCTCGCAAACGCCTTTGTATACGTACTTTCAACGAGCAGCTCTGTAGCAACCCCCCGATGTTTTATGGAAAAATTTTAAACAGCCATCGCGAAAGTGAAACAGCAGTCGTATAAGGTATCCTTCTGAAATTGGCCTCCTAAGAAGAGACCGGCAATTAAAAAGTAATCCAGTTATCGCATCCCGAGGAAAAGAGGCAGTTACTTGGCGTAATAATTTCTCCCCCATGCACCCCGGCTAGTATCACATCCGGCCATCTTGAACTTTTCCAATTCGTGCGTGGAATGTGTTCCTTTGTTGGCCGGTTTTTTGCGCCACCCTCGGTACTTATTAAGCTTTGAGAAAAGTTATTACCGCAGGGCCGTAATTTATAAAAAAAAAAATAACCTCTGGTACGAGTATTCCGGAGCTGCTGCATTTGGAGGGTAATTTTATCTTTTCGGAATGTAAAAAATGGTGCGAGTCCTGGGTAAACCTTTCCCCCGTTTTGTTCTCGATTTAATGCGTGTGATTGAGCAAACCGCGAGTGTGTATTCAAGTGCGACGCGTAAACTTGTAAATTCCATGTCAGTCGAAGGGGGACATAGAAAACTCTCCCTCGTCGACGCCAGGGAAAAAAAAATTGTCAATGTGTACACGCACACCTTGTGACTCATGGAATCCATAAATACATAACAGGTCGAGCTCGCGGGGACGGTCTGTGCGTCACGAATACGATGTGGAATGATATTGCGTCAAGTGTAGCGAAGCGTTTTTTATTTACTTCGGTTCAGCCAGGGAGAAGTTTTTCTCGTATTCTCCGATTGAGCTGCAACAACAAACTGGATTTTCATCTTGAAATACATACATATTTCTGTTGGGGCGTAAGTCAACTCTATAAGGATTGTTGTTGCTTATATACTATTGAAAAATTAATCGCTATATCTGTTTAGCTAATTAACTGTGACATGTATTTAAATACCAAGGGAGTGAATACATTTTTTATAGACAGAGACTGTGTATGATTATAACCACGACAGCAGTATTGCAATGAAATAACGTAATTCAATGATGATTTTTTTTTGTCTGTTTCAGGTGAGTTCGTCGAAAATCATACATTTCCTATAGCTGTTTGGTAAGAGAGAACATGTAACACACGGATAAGAATCTACAAGCTGATTCAAGGGCTGCGTCCTTGTTCTCGGCGTTGAGAAAAACAGATAAGTAAGAGATAACCCGTAGTATAACTCATTGAAACTAGGCATGTAATGTACGACACCGAGAAATGCCATTTACTTCTCGTCTCTCGAAATTTTCTGGTCTCAGAGCCTCAGTTTATTTTTATCCTTCATATTTTTGAATAAAAACTGAGTTTTTTTTTCTTGTAATATTTTGATAAAGCTCAAATTAACACTACTTTTATTATTTTTTTAAAACCTTGACTTTAAATTTAACAGCTCTAGAAAACAACGTGATCAGTCTTTGTGATCATATGAGGAGAAAATAGGCTTCTTCAGGTGACACATCGATTTTTTTTTTTTTTATCTCAAAATATTTTATCTTACCCTCAAAGGGCTCAAAATTTTTTTCTCTTAGGGGTCCAAATGAATTTAGGTAATTGAATTAAATGAATTTTTGGTAATTTATATAGAAATTATTCAAAAATTAATCGAATCCTTCCAATCGTCATCACCACGGGCTACTCGTATCATTTTTTTACACACAATCGCAGAGGCAAGCTACATACCGAGTGCTAGTATACGTGTAATCGGTTATAAAGCTATTGATCCCAAGCTAATAGCGAATCGTATGCAATCGAATAATTTAGGGGTCACTCACTCGCAGAGATGTCCAGTGTGTACAGTGTATGGAAAACAATGCCAGCACGAGGAGATAGTCATCGATGCACAGTCCAAAATTAGTTGCTAAACACGAAACTTTTATTACACAATGACGCCGTGTGTGCACAAGGATGAAAAAAAAAAAAAAAAAAAAAAACCCTGTGCTAAGCATCAAATCACCGGATACTAAAGCAACGTCCAAGCAGAA